ACTGAAAGTTGCTAAGAGCAAAGAACGTAAGTGTTCTCACCAAAACAAACAAACAAAAAAAGTAAATGTAAGAGGTGACGGATACATGAACTATGTCGATGCAGGAATGCTTTCAAAATGTATACCCATCAAGTCATCACGTTGTACATTTTAAATATATTACAACTTCATTTGTCAATTATATCTTAGTAAAATTGGGGGAGGGGGGATAAAAAAAAAGTCATTTATTAAAAAGGTCCCGAGTCTTGCAGGAATGAAGCTGCATTAGTTTCCCCCACTGTACGGAGTCACTGGTGTGTCACGGGGAGCACAGGCTAGGTGCCACCATTGGGCCAGCCGCTGGGAGCCATCAGTCAATTACATCCCCTGCAGGAGAGGATCTGAGCACAGCATTTTCACTGCCACTACAAGACAATACAAAGGTAGCAACATGGTGCCACTTTAATGTGTTGCCATTGCGGGGACGCAAATGACACCATTATCCCAATGGCATGTATCACTACGTCTTGGCAAGCATTAGGGCAGGGCCTTGATTCTTGTGAGAGAGCAAAAGAGAAGGAGAGATAGGAGGATGACTTCTCTGAAATGCCTGCTCCTTTGTTCTCCCGGCCGCTATGATCAACTTCTTGGCAGGAAGAAGAGAGAGAGAATGAATGAGAATGAATCATTAAACTCACTCCTAGCTCAGGGAAACGTTTTATTGGATTTGTTTCGCTTTGATGCTGATTAAGCCCATGGGTTAGCAAGCCAGTGAGTGAACCTGTGTGCTGAGGGAGGGGGCACAGGGTCTCCCTATGGTTGCTGCGCCATGTTTGTAATTTATTATTAACTACCTCTTCTGTGCCATGGTCCAGGGGGCCAGCTCCTGGGGCCAGAGCTGGGGTTCATCCAGGCAGATCTGAAGGAACATTTTATTTACTTGCTTCTTTCCTTAAATCTAGTATTGCTCAACCTCGCCCAAGGCAGAAAAAGTTTGCTTGACCTTGACTGAAATAGTGAACTTAGGGAGAGCTCAGAATTAGACTACTGGCTACACTTGCTTCGCTTATCACCTGACAAGTTGGCAAGATCTTCTACATTTGATGCCATGATCTTATACAATCTTATATATTTGATGCCATGGCCTTGTTCTAAGAACCTAAATAAACATTTTGTAATGCTGATCTTCTACAGCTTTTCAGATGCAGTGTCATGCTCCCAGAGTTCACTCTTTCACTGAATGAATATTAACTGAGTGCCTACTACGTGTCCAGTGCTGTACACACCAAGCGCTAGAGATGCAACCTTAAACAGAACAGACAAGAACCCTACTTTGTGGATGGGAAAGTAAGGCAATGTGGAATATCAGCAATGTCAAACTGAAACGAAAATACCATCATTTCACATGGTGTTAAGTCCTATGAGGAGAACGAAGAACAAGAAGTGAGTGGCAGACGTTATAAAACGGAATCTTCTCAAGTCATCAGTTTAGGCAGGTGTTAATATGCCTAGGTTATCAAGGAGCAAAAGGATGTGCTGAGAGGGTATTTGACTTGTCCAGGTTCCAACAGCTCCTGCAGGACAAGAATGAGGGTTTGAACATGGGCCAGTATTGGAGCCAAAATGCTAACCTCACTGATGCCAAAATAGTGAACAGTCAGCGCAGCCTCTAATTACCTGGAGTGTCCCCCCTCCCTGGTCTTCCCCTCGCACTGTATGCTTCATCCAAATGGCTTCCTTGCAGTTTCTGACGGAGCCCCAGCACCTCTTGCTTCCAGTCTGTGCACAGTCCGGCCAAGAGTTTCCCCAAGTGTAGGATGCTGCCCACAGATGGTTTTGGAAGATGAGTCCATAAAGGCGTACGGACACATTGCTGAGCAACATTGACTCACATGGTGAGAAAGTAATTCTCTTTTCAAGGCTTTTTTTTTCTCTAATTCTGATTGTATTGAAAAGACAAGTTAGTACCCGACAACCATTTTTTAACATTTGCTCAGTTCCTCTTCTTAAAAAAAAATGATTTATTGAAGTATAATTGGCATACAGCCCTTATCACAGCTTTTTAAATGTTCTTGCTCATTGTAACCATCTGTGTCAGTTCTGGTTCCGTTTCAATTTATTTTTCTCCTCATGCTGGATCCGAAGTTCCCTCTTTGCTTGTCTGGTGAGCTCTGATTGGATGCAGAGAGCTTGTCTGTTTTGCCTTGTTGCGCCCTGGACATTTTTATCTTCCTAAAAATACTCTTTAGCTTGTTCCTGGGTGCAGTTATGGAGAAACAGTTTCATTCTCTGGGATCTTGTTTCTAAGATGTGGTAGGTGTGACCAACCAAAGAAGCGCTCCCTTTAAAGTAGGGCTAATTATTCCCCCACGACTGTGACTGAGGCAAGACAG